CTGATGGAGCCTGGGGCCCCGGGGGGTCCGGGGGGGCCCGGGGGGCCCGGCAGGTAGGCGGTGCTCGACGCCCCCCCTGCAGGAGGGAGGAAGCGTGCTCTGACTTCTCCACCCTTGGGTCAGACACACGGGCCGGGCACTGTTCCCACGGTCCGACTCAGCAAAGACAAGGGTCCCCGCTGCCTAGGAGGGGTGCGGGGCTGGGGCGCGCCCAGGCCGACTCCCTCCCCTCAGCCGCCTGCTCCCTCGCACAGCGCCCCTTCTCCGGGCCCCCCAGCCGCGGGGCCTGCACTGCGCGGGGTCTCCCCGCCCACCCGCCAACTTGGAACCTTCCCCGAAAGGCGGCTCGGAGGTCCCAGCCCTCGCGAGGGGCCTGGTCAACGCGAGTCACGGAGGAGCCAAAGGACGAAGGGGTCAGCAAGCTCCTGGGAACGCTCAGCCTGGCTGGAGGAAGGGGAGAGGAACTGGGGCGCCCTTAGGGTCTTACCTCCAGCGGAACCACTGGGAATGGCAGCAGCCCCTGGAGTGCCAGGATCACCTGGAATCCAGAACAAGAAGCCCTGTTTACTTTTCCTCCTCCAGGAAGCCTGCTCTGTTGGAGCCCAACCGCACTTACTGGTGCGCGGCTTGTGTCTCGCGGCCTCGTTTCTGCAGAGATGCCACAGCTCCCCGGCACAGAGGCTGCCTCCACCTCCGCGGCCCTTGCCCCCTCTGGCCTTCCCCCTCCGGCCTCCCCGCTCCCAGGCCTTGAGCACCAAGGACTCGCCGCCTCCTCTTCAGGCTCTAGAGGCCGGACTGGCCCCACTCCTCGCCGCCCCCTCGGCTGCTCCCACACTGAGGGAGGCCAGACACCCAGGAGGAGGCGGGAACCAGCCCAGAGGGAGCGCCCCCCGCCCTGCCCCCGCCCGAGGGGAGCTTGGCTCTCACCTGGTGGGCCTCGGGGTCCTGGCGGGCCTGGAATGGAGGGCCCTGCAGAGGCGGTGGGAAGAGGCGATGCTGAGCCCGCCCCGGAGCAGGGCCTTGGCTTCCTACTGAGCCACCCCTCCAGAGACCCTGAGGTGCTCACCTGGCGGCCCGCGTGGCCCCGGGGGTCCTGGAGGACCTTGTAAATCAAGACCTTCTGTAGAGAGAGGAAATAAACATGAACACGCCTGTCCTGGAGCTGCCACGCGTCTCGGAGGATCGCCATGCCCTGGCCCCTGGCCACCCTCACCGGAGGCTGGGCTGTGGCTCACGTGCAGGACCCTCCGGCGCCTCCTCCCCCGGGGGGCACCTCACTCAGCGGCAGGCGGGGCCGCAGTCAGACCCCCCGATGGCTGATGCCAGGGTCGGGCAGTCCGAGGGCAAGCCCCGCCCCAACGTCTCGTGGGTGACTTAGGGCCAGTTCTCAGCCTCCTTCGGCCTCAGTCTGCCCCTCTCGGTCAATGAGACCCACATCGGGGGCTCTGGGAAGGCTCTGAGCCAGCGCCAAATGCTGAGCCCAGCACCCTGGAGCCCACCGTGGGCGCCGGCCTGGAGGCTGATGTCCGCTGCGCTGTGCCCCCGGTGCCCAGAAGGAAGTGCTGCTCAGACAAGGGCGTTAGCCCTCCCCGCCTGGACCTAGGCCGAGAGCCAAGGTCCCTCGCCACTGCTGCCCCTGCCAGACGCTCACTGGCAAGGCTGGCCGCCGGGACCTCCCAGGCCCTGGTTGACAGCTGCCCGCCGTGGCTCAGCCTCCCGCCCAGCGTCCCCACGGCAGAGGCCCTGGCTGGCCTCACGAGGGTCTCACGGGGCACCTGGTGCGGCTGCCACAGGCCCCCCGCTGCTGCCTCGCGTCACCCCCCCACACATGGCGCCACTCACGGGTGGAGAGGACCTCGGAGATGGAGCTGCCGCTGGTCAGGAACGATTCGCCGGCAAGTCCTCGCTCCCCTCGAGGGCCTGTGGGGAGGGCGGAGGCCGGTTGGCTTGCAGCTTGGGGCCTGTTGGGCCTTAGGGGGCCCCGGGCCCAGGGCAGGGCGGGGTCCAGAGTGGGGGGCGGGGCGAGCGGCCCAGCGGAAGGGCGGGTGGTGGAGGGTCGGGGCCAGAACTTTCCAGGGGCCCTGGGCCAGTTTTTCCTAAGCCTGACTGTTTGGTATCTGGCCAAACTGCTGGACGGCGGCCTGATTATCAGGGTCTGGACTCGAGGCCGAGGCCTGAGAAACTGCGGGCCTGACCTGACCGGGGGCCACAGAACCTCAACCCACCTGTCCCCGGACCCCACTTTCTCAGGAAGACGGAGGGGATGAGAGGCAGGGCGTCCCCAGGCACAGAGGAGAGCCACGGCAGCCCCCCAGTTCTTCCCAAAACACGAGTCTCTCACCTCAAGTAAAGCACAGGGCCGAGCGGCCCTGGGTGGAGAGCCCTCCCCAGCCCCAACCCTGCATTCTTCCAGGACCCGCCTACCTTGCTGTCCTGGGAGACCAGCCGGGCCAGCAGGACCTGGAAACAGGGAAGAAAGGCCAATCACACCTCAGACACGGGAAGCACAGGAAGTGCAGGCCTCTTGGCGCCCACGGGTGCCTTTGGGGCGTGGACCGCGGCCCGAGGCCGAGTGCTTGTTGGAGGGCGGTGAGCGGTCTGAGACCAGTCTGCGGTCCAGCTGCGAGAAGCTCTCTGACCAGTGCTGGGACCCCGGGCGCAGGCTGCCTCCCCAGGCTGCCCCGCCACGGCTGGAGACCGCTGCGGCCCCGGGCCTCCCCCTCCCTGGAGCCTGCGAGGAAGGAGGCAGGCACACGAGCGCACTGGCCCTGCCACGTTGTGGTGCACTGCACCTTCACGCGAAAATGCCAAATAACTCGAAATCGCACAAAGCAAAACAGCAGGCGTTCTGGAGAAACAGGGCGGAAGTTCGCCCCTGCCGCTTTCACTCGGAATATTCAGCTTTGCTCCTTGGAGCGCGTTCCTGCATCTCGCAAACAGAATGGCCGCCCCCGCAGGCGTGACTGAGCCTTCTGCTCTCAGATGGGGCCACCGCCTCCCAGCTGTCCCCCAGAAGTCGTCCTGCTCGCGTCACCTCCCCCGTGGCTGCTGGGCGGCTGGGGGACACTTTCTCCGGCCAGACTCCGAGCACTTTTGCTCCCCCCGAGGCGTGTTGCCAGGCTGCTTTCTGGAGGAGACCGAGGGCTAAGGGCTGAGGCCAAGGTCTGGCCATGTCCGTGCCCTGCCCCTGCTGGCAGGCTGGGGACCTGCTCTGAGCCTCTGTCTCCCCATCTGGCAGGCCGAGAGCACGTCGGCCTCCTGCGCCGTGAGGAGGGACAACTGACCCACCTCGCTGTCCGGAAACGCAGGAGTCTGGCTTTCTCGGGCCAGACTCCTCACGCCCGCCCGGTTCAGCTCCCGCCCAGGGCTTCAGGGTCTGAACAGACACAGCCGGAGCCAGAGCCACCGAGGCCTGCTGCCGATGGGGGCAGGGCGAGAAAACGGACTGACCTGGAGCACCAGGAGGCCCCGGGGATCCCACGGCACCAGGTGGTCCCGGGGGGCCTGGGACAGTGATCGTGGAGGCGCCCTCTGAAACAGAAGGCACAGGGAGCTCTGAGCCCACTCTCCTCTCTGAGGGCCAGGGCTGCACCAGGCTGCGGGCAGGGCAGGCCGAGCTCCCCTCCTTCCCGCGCCGCGCCGCGAGAGCTGACGACCCGCTTCCTGGCGCGCGTCGAGGCAGGGCCGGGGCGGGCGCCCAGTGCGCGGGGCTGGGGGGGGACGCGGGAGGAGGGGCTCCCGGACTTGCCTACCTGAAGTCACGATGCTGCCTGGTGCTCCAGGTTCACCTGGGTGGGGAGAAGGAGCGTGCGGACCTGAGAGCAGGTGGTGGCTGCCAAGCACCTGCCTGTGCTTGGGACCCACCTCTGGGTCTCTCGCCCGCAGGCTAAGCCCGTTTTAAGGACCTGAAAAGACTGCACTGGGCAGCTTCCCTGGGCCCTGGAGGCTGCACCCCATGTGCACGCAGAGGGGCTTCCCTTACAGCTTGGGAGAACTTGTGGCTCTGGGCGGCCGAGGGAGTCAGCACACGCCCCATGCCCCTCCTCGGCCGGGCCTCGCTCTCGGCCGTCAACGGACAGAGGCGGTGAGCCCGGAGGTGGAGCGGGGTCCCCGGGCGTTCCTCAGGACGGTCTGGGGCTGTGTGGCTTCGAGAGAGGGCCTCGGGTCCGCGTTCCCAAGCCATCGCCGCTGGGTGCCCGTCCCGCCCCGGCAGCCCGTGAACGCGCTGGGAAGACCACACTCTCGGGGCCTGCGCTTCCGCTTCCCAAGGTCTGTGAGGCCAGATCCCCACACCTTGAGGGCGACACGCCAGCCCCACTGGAGCAGAGGAGGGCCTCTGCTCTGTCCTCCAGCCGGGCCAAGGCCAGACAGGAGAAAGCCTTGGGTTTGTTTTGCGGGAGCACAAGCCAAGGCCAGGTGTGACGCCCCTCTGGGGCACGTCGTCCGGGAGGGTCTCGAGTCCCCCTGGCACAGGAATTCACGGGCCCTTGGAAAGGGGAGGGTTTTCTGGTATCCTGCAGGGTCCCAAAGCCCACGAGACTCTTGCAAAAGGTCCCATCCATCCGTGACAGATCTACGGGCCCAGAAGTTTGTCTGCCTGGGATGTATGAACTCCACGGACATCGTTTTGGAATTACATTTGTGGATGCCTAAAGAAATCCTTGGCCCAAGTAGCCCCTGGAAACAGTTTCTGGAAAGGGGGGTTTGAGGGCCCCACCGAGGGTGGCAGTGGTAGCTCAGGGCAGACACAGCTCCGTCGAGCCTCAGGGTTCAGGGTTCTCAGGGACAGGAGGAGAAAGGCCGTCCCCGAGCACCACTTGTGCCCGGACTCGCTCGGGCTTGGGCCTGATGGGCCGGACGGGACAGAGGAGCGTCGTGTGTGCACAGGAGTCCCGGTGTGACCCACCAGACCCCCGCAAGTGGTTTCCCTCCTAGTGCTTGGACCTGCCCTCTGAGTGGGTCATGGCCCCACCTCATCAAAGCCACTTCTCAGGAGGGAGGCTGCATGGCTGACAGGGCCAAAGGCGGCTCCTGCCCAGGGAAGAGGCAGGGCAGTGGGGGACGGAGCCCACCCAGGGGATGAGGCCCGGCTGGGGCATCCTAGGGGCAAGCCAGGGCCTGGAGGGGCTTCGGGGAGGGCCGTGGGAGGGGTGTGGGCAGCTGGGGCTTGAGGACGGGGCTGACCCTGGCGCAGGCCCTGACTGCCACCCTCACAGCCTTCGCTGGAGCCACTAGATGCCAGCATTGATCCAGGCTCTGGCCCGTGAAGGGCCTCCCTCCTGGCAATCCCCAGCCCAACCCCGGCCCGCAGAAATTCACTCACCTTTAGTCCCTGGGCGGCCGGGGGTGCCCGGAAGTCCTGACACGATCGGAACGAGAAAGGGCGGTGAAGGCCGGCCAGTCCAGACACCCCGGAGCGAAGCCTCGCCCTGTCGCTCGGCAGCGCCACCGCGCTGACCGACCCTGAAGCCCTCCTGCCTTCCGCCGCCACCCAGCCGCCCCTGGGGCCGCTTGCTCGGAGCCCTTGGCCCTCTCTGGGACACAGGCCGCAGCTGGGCTTTGGGGATGGCAGTCCCCTGGCCGCTGCACCCGCATAAGGGCTGGGCCTGTGTGTCCAGTGCCGTGCCGCCCGCTGCCCGGCGGGCCCGCTGCCCGATTCCTTTTCCAGTGTTTGCCTGATTTCCTTCTGGGCTGGGAGTGGTGACAATTCCTCAAGTCCAGGTGGGGGCACACCGGTCCAGTACAGGACAGGCTTCAACACTGAGAAAAGGTGCCCTCCCTAAGGAAGGTGAGCGCCCATGCCCGCCTGTGAGCAGGGGCTCCCTGTGGGCTCGGGCCTCCTCTCAGGATTCCTGCACCGCGGGGAACTGGGCCCAGGCAGGCAGAGCCAGCACACGATCTCATTCCACTTCTACCAGCGTGGTGTTCTAGGCTGTTCCACACCAACTTTCCTTTCTAAGGGCTCCTCAAGACTGTGTGAGTGAGTGGGGTTGGGGTGGGGGAGGAAAAGCCCTGCTGGCGACCCCAGGAGGGGGGGGCAGGTGGCAGTGACCCGGCCACTCACCTTGAGGTCCCGGGGGTCCGGTGAGACCTGCAGAAACCAGAGGTGGGAGGGCAGAGTTGAAGGGGTGAGGCCGTCCTCGGAGAGCCCACCCTCGCCCGCTGGAGCAGGCAGGCACGGCAGGGGGCCGTGAGTCCAAGAGCAGACACGCCACGCCTGCACACGCAGGCACACGCCATACCTGCACACCCACAGGCACATATGCACACACCCACACCTGCACACACACAGACACACACAGGCACGTGCGCACTCACACATGTGCCCCCACAGACACACATGGGCACATGCTCACACCTGCACACACACCCACACTCACACACACATCTGCACACTCAGACACACAGGAACATGTGCACTCACCCACATCTGCCCACCCACAGACACAGGCACACATGCACATACAGACGCACACACAGGCACACACCTCCTCCTGCACACGGGTATGCACACGCCCACACCTGCACACACACACGGAGCAGGGCGTGGCTCCCCCTTCCGGCTTGTCACCTGGCTTTCCCGGGTCTCCGGAGGGTCCTGATGGCCCGCGGGTTCCGGGCATCCCTGTGAGACCCTGTTCACCTACAGAGAAACGCCTTTTTCTTAGGAAAGCTGTCCCGGCTGGCACAGCGGTCCCTGCCCGCGGCTTCTGGGGTTTTCCTAACAGGCTTGCTGGCACGTGGGAGGGGCCGGGCAGAAGGCGGGTGGGGGCGGGGAAGGCAGCAGGGCCGCGACCCACCTCTGAGGCCTTGCTGTCCGTCGGGGCCGGCGGGGCCTGGCAAAGCAGAAGCAAAGTCTGTCGGCGGCTCCGCCGCGGGTCTGCCCCCCATCCCGCGGCCTGGAGCAGGGCGCCCCCCAGGGGCAGCCCCCACAGCCTCCACGGCAGCTGCTCCGCCACACCCCCCGGACACAGCGGTCTCGAAGCCAGGAGCCATCTGTCTTCCCGCTGAGACTTGCTCAGGGGCCCCCATCGCATCCCGGGGGCTGGGCACTCGGGGGCTGGGCACTCGGTGCCTTCTGTCTCCTCTAGAGTGGAAGTCAGGGTCCGCCGCGTCCTTGTCACCCCTGCTCTGGCACCACCCTCACCACCACACGAAGCGGTGTCCTCCTGGGACCGCACCCGTCTCTGGGGCTTTCCTCACTCATGTCTCTAAGTGGGATTTTCCACACTAGTCGCAACTGCAGCCCTGACTTTTTAGGGCCATCTGCAGGGCGTCCTCTTCCGTCACCGGGCTGGAAGGAATCGCTCCGGCGAGGCTATCGTGACGGCACTCCGCTTTGCGTGGCACGTGTCACCTCCCACAAGGCTCATCTCGCCGGGAGAAAGGTCAAGTGTCCCTGACTTGTTCACAGTGTCCGGCACACCGGCAGCACCCACTAACCGCAGGGTCAGGGGACCACTTGCCTGACAGTGTCCTGCTGGCAGGCCTCTCAGAACAGGACAGGAAAGGTCAATCCTGCAGCTGGCTGAGACCGGGGGCCCCAAAGCCCTCCGTGCTGTCTGTTCCCCAGAGCTGGGGGTGGCTGGGCCTGGTCCTGCCAAGCCCTTCCCAGAGCTGAGAAACCCACGGGGCAGTCGCAGCCCCAGCCCCAGGAGGGGTGCCTGGACCCAGAGGGAGACGCCCCCAGGGTGGGCAGTTCCAGCGGTACAGGCAACCCCAGGGGGCCTTTTCAGGGCCATGGAGACCCTCTCGAGGGGCGGGTCCACAGCCTCCGTGCCTCGGGGACACTTACCCATGGCGCCTTTGGCCCCGGGCTCTCCCACAGCGCCAGGCAAACCTCTCTGGCCGGGCTCGCCTGCCAAGGACAGGGACTGGCTGGGGGACTTGCAAGCTGCGCGTGCTCCAAAGCAGCGCCTGTCCACCCGCCCTGCCTCGCCGGCCCCTCGCCTCCTCCTGCCCCAGCCCCTGCGCCCACCTCCTCCTGCCCCGTCTCCTCCCTCCCC